ATGAGCCTTGTGGGTTAATTTAAGATATAAGAGCTAGCTAGCAATATGATGAAGTTATTGGCTAAGGAGTGTTTTAAATTATAGTTTCTGTGTGAGTATTTCATATCTGAGCAGCAGGGAATGACCGAGCAGCCTCCGGCAACAAAAACTTATCCAAAATGCAAGTAGTATCAGTTTTAAATGATTAGATCATCTCTTCTGGCCACACATGGATTGTTATTGGGTAGTGAAAGTGAAGAAGGACCTCTGCACGCATGTGCGCTTGTGTGTCAATGCTTGTATGCATGCATGCATATGTGTGTGTGTGCGTGTGTGTGTGTGTGTGTGTGTGTGTGTGTGTGCTAGAGGAAATTGAATGCTATTTGGAAAGGTAAATGCTGTGAAGGATCAAGATTGATAAAAAAGACTTGTGAGTATCTGCTCTTTGGGCCTACATACAAAAGATAAAATTTACAGTAGAAAAAATAAATCTTGTTTGAGTACACTTCTAGTGCCAAATAACTTTCCTACACCATTCTGCCATAAGTGGTAGCCACTGTGTTCTGCTGTGTTTTGATGGGGTCTGTCTTCCATGGGTGCTGCATGATGGGTGATGGAAGGGTAGCCTTAATCTGCTACTGCAAAACAGTAATTCTTGACAAGTCTGTAACAGTGAATGAGGATCTCCTACTCAATCTACTCCTTTTCTTTGGTTTTCAGAAGATTAATCATTGATAGAATAGTTGGATGTATGAGTGTACTAAGAAAAGGAAGTTTATGAACACAGTATGGATGTTCTATTATGACATACTCAACATTTGAGTATTGCATTTTCAGAATTCTTCAAATTAATTAATATAAGGATTATTCTGTGTTTCTTATTAATTCATTGTCCCTATTTAATTTTAAGATACCATTATCAAATCAACATGTAGCCTTGGGAATTATCGAAAGTAGATTATAGGGATACATTTTTAAACAAGAATAATAAGGAGTACTTGTCCAGACCATGTAAAGTGATCAAAGATTTAGTTGCATGGTGAGGCACAAAGGGCACAACAGTGTCACTGAATGGAATTATCACAAATAAAAAGAGGAAATGCTAAAGAGGAACTGATTGCAACTTAGGACGAATAGTTCTTTGGGGCAGGCAAGTATTCTGGAGGCTTGTTTACCATCAGAGGATCTGGTAAAGGGAGCGAGGGGAAGGGAGAGAGACCTGTAGTTATGCTTTTATTTATCTTCTTTACTCCTCCTTTGTCTGCCAGGCTAAATATTGGTGTCTCACAATATTAGAACGTAAGATATTTAATATTAGAGACTTTACCTTGTTACGCACTGTCTCGCCTACATCTAGAACAATGCATGACACAAAGGTATCCAAAGGCATCATTAATAACTACTACAGCTTATGTACTGCCGCACGATCTACCATCATATTTAGATGGGAGCACGGGAACAAAATGCAAATAACTTCAACAGATCAAGATTCTCCAGTACAGTAGTAAGGATAGTGGAGTTACTAGGGACACAGAACCTACATGAAGTTTTAATCTTCAGGAGAGTTAAAAGGACCAACAACTACATGTATGTAGGAAAATGGGAAAAATGTTTTCTCTCATTTTAGGGACTATAAAACATAAACAAAAGCTCTGATATTTTTCCTAATTCACTCTAGTCAATTTATATACAACCTATTTTTTCTAATAAACATGAGTCCTGCTTTTTCCACTGACATATTTTCTGGCTGCTTATTTTGCTACTAATGCATTTAAATAAATAATTAAGGAGAAATGGGTAGTTCTTTCTTTTATACTAAATGATAAACTTAAGCCAAGATCTCCAGAATGTCAGTCTCAGAAATAACTTTGGAAATGCATACACAATCACTCTCATAAAGTTTTTTCCTGATTTAGTCTACAATATTATTGATTTATTGTCATGTTGTGAAAATTTCTGATGACTTTTTTTGGACCTCAGGATTTCTGTGTGCTAGCAGATGGTTGATGACTGAAATACATCACACGCCCTTTCTGATAACCTCTTTGAACCAAGTTATCTAAAACAAGTTACCTTTCTTTTTTAAAAAAAAAATTCAATGACCATGTGGTTAAATAAAACCTATAGGCAATCTTTGTTTAAAGGTCATTATTACAAACACTAGCTCCATTGACCAATTTTTTTTGCTGCCTATAGCAATGCCATGATGGAAGTAGTTAGTGTCAGGGAAGAATGCCAGCATGCTCTCTGACTTCTAACAACTATAAGGCATCCAGCTCTCTTGGCACTTTCCAAGGTTCTGTCTCTTTCAGCTAACCATCTAATATTAAAAGTCCTAAGATTCTTCACTTATAAAATGTCAAATATAGGAAAAAGAAATTTCCATGTTTTAACTCTGTTGTGACCTGGGATCAGTATTACATGGATGGCATCGGGGACAACATAGAATTCTGTTTCCCTATTTTAATTTTGCCACACAATGATTTTACCATGACATTTCATGTGTCACCATGATATTTTATACATGTGTATCATATTTTGCTCTTATTTCTACACTTTTCTCATCCATCCTACTAACATGTTTTTAATTCCCCCAAATATTTTATTTTTCTTTAAAACAGTTATTTCATTCATTGTTTTTGTCTCTGTGTATATGTATTCACACATGATCATGTGTATATATCCTGGTCTTTGTGTAGAGTTTAAAGGAAAATTTATGGAGTTATAATTTCCTTCCAGCAAATGAGTTTCAACAATCCAACTCAGGTTTCCCGGAGTGTTTATCTGCTGAGGCATCTCAACAGCTTGTCTCACTTTTAAGTCACAAACATTTCATTGTCATCTTCTGTTTCCTCCTACTACTTCTCTTAGACTGTTTTGCAAAAATCCACCTATTTCTGCCTCTTAAGAGCTGAGATTAAAGAATTTTATATTCTATTTTATTGATCTATATTTAATTTTTCTATTATCAGCCCTTTTTAAAGAAGTTTTAAAATTTTATGATGTGTGTGTGTGTGTGTGTGTTTGTGTGTGTGTGTGTAATGACACTGCATTTTTTCTTTTGTGTGTGGGTATGTAGGGTGAAGTGTAACTTGTGGGAGTCATTTAGATTATATTTGGTAAAAGAGAAAATTGTTTTATTATTATTTTTACCAGAAACTTTATGAAGGTAAGATAGAAAATTTCATATTCCAAGGCTGGAGAGATGTCTCAGAGATCAGAGCACCTGATGATGTCCCAGAGGTCCAGAGTTCAGTTCTCTACAATTAGGTCAGGTGAGCTACAACTGTCTATAGCAAGCTCCATGAGAATATGATACCCTCTTCTGGATGCTCTGGGCATCATCAGACATACGAATATACATACAAGCATATTTACATATGCACACAAGCACATATGCATACAAATAATTACACAATTAAATAAGTGTTTAAAAGGTTCATGTTTAAGTTGCACTTGCTTCAGTATGTCAATGTGTGGTCATGCCCTCGCAGTGATGTGGGATTCTAGAACCCCCTCAGAACTACTTTTCACGATGTTCTGGCATGAGAAATACTGAGAATACTGAGAAGAAAGAAGGGATGGTCTTCAAGGAGGTAATGGAGGAGAACATAGCCTTGGTAGAAGCCAGCTGATTGTTTCTTTGTTTATATCAAATCTGGAAAAAAGCTGTAAGATACTCTTAGGTTTCTATGTTTCGTGTTTTTGGCAAATTACTCTTCTTTGTCTTTAACCCTTGATATATATATATATATATATATATATATATAATGTGTGTGTACATATACACATATACATATATATCATACAAAATACATACAATATATCATAATATATATACATGTGTGTGTGTGTGTGTGTGTGTGTGATTAAACCATTCATGAGATTCTCAGTTTAGAAAAACAGTGTTTCAAGTAGACTCATCTGATAAATTCTAAGCGATTTTCTTTCTTGTATGCTGTAATTCATCACTACTGGATAACATTCTCTCCACCAATGTTTTCCTTCTAGACTTTTTTTAATATCATATTTTATTTATTCTTTGAAAAATTTAAACAGTATGTTTTGGCCATATTCACCCCCAAATTCCTCCCAGATATACCCACCCCTATATCCCTCTTCCAACATCATGACTCCTCCCCTTTTAAAATAGCCCACTGAGTCCAATCAGTGCTATCTTCATCGTGGGTATGGGGTCATCCACTGGGATGTCAACTACCACGGACCACACCCATAAAGTAAACTGACTCTCCCATCTAGTAGATCTAGTAGCCGTAAGTTGTCAGTAATAGCTCCTCGATTGGGGGCAGTTCCTCCCCAGCTCCGTGCTGCAATATCTACTGGCTTGATCTCATGCAGGCGACCTAGTCTCAGATATCTGAAAAATTTAAAACAGACCCAGAAGAAAATTCCTTCTAGACTTTTAAAAAAGTATGCAAGCATGCCTTCTTATGACAGTCGCCTAATGCCCTCTTCTGGTTATAGAGCAAAGCAAACTCTTTCTTAGTGCAATGGTGTTGTGTGGAAATTTGAATGTTCTTTCTGAGCTTTTCAATGCATTTACTTCCTAGTATGTTTCAAAAATGTTTACTGCTTGCTCTTTGCATGATTTACAAGTCAATGTGCTTTACTGATAATATTGAAATTCAACTGTGTAGCAAATTTTAGTAAATATAGCTTAAAATTCTTTGCAACTTTTTAATCTCTCTAGAGGAAATACTATTTTTAACAAAATAACTTACAACATATTACATTGTACATTTAAATGGAAAATCTGAACTATGGTGTTATTATAATTAACATTTAAGGCTCTGCCTGAACATGCATGTGGGAGTCAAATAAATGATGTGAGTGATCAATTAATGGGAAAAATACATGATGGTACTTAAAACATTTTAAAATTTATTTAATGAGTATGAGTGTTTTGCCTGGATGTATGAATATATTACATGTGAATGGTTGGTACTTGTGGAGGTCAGAAGAGGTATTCAATCCTAGGAATTTGGAATGTGAGCCCTTACCTGGGTGCTGACAATTGAAGCAGGGTTCTTTAAAAGAGAAACAGGTGCTTTTAATCACTGAGATATCTCAGACATCTCTCTAGCCTCTACATGGTGATATTTTTACCATTTTTGTTCTTAAAATTTTCATTCAAGTTTCTATTCTTTACTGAATCTACTATTGTAACAGGATAACAGCTCCATTTGTAACACCAAGTAATTCTGATATAAGGAATGTATTCATTTATCTAATGTCATCGTTTACAACGGTAATTATTAGTTAATATAGCCATGCCAGAATCATGCAAAAGTATTAATGGAAAAATACATTCCCCAAATTTTAAAATGTCATATTCTTTAACTGTTTTGTGAAACTTCAATAGCCTTAAATTTAAAATAAAAATATAATTTTCATCCAAATCTGAACACTTTTGTGGATGAAAAAGCCACTGTCAACAGTTGTGCCTAGTGCTAGTATGGCTATGGGCTCCTGTGGGAAAAACAGAAGCCTCTTACTGTATTTGTTATAGACTATAGCCACAGAGTAGTGGAAAACAGAACTACTGCTAAAATTCAGCTTTTTATTTCTATTTCCAATGGACTTTTTTAAACTTCAAATTTACAATTTGTGATTGATGGCAAAAAAAATATGTTGAGTCTTATCTTCTCTTTGAAGCCATTGTTTTCTTCCCGTTTCTCCTTTTAAAGATGGGGAAAACTGTTATCTCCACAGATTGGGGGAGCCTTCTGGGAAACAAGGCTTTTATGGATATGACAGGGTTATATATTCGTGAAATCCGAGTGGCTGATATTTCATGCACACGATAAAGTCAGTCAAAATTCCGTGAAGATAGTGAAGAAGGCCATGGACCTCCACAGCTAGTTGAGGAAACATTGGCTGTTAATGTAAGGGAGCCATTTTTCTCATGGGACAGAGATGTAATTCAATTGTCCTATACCCATGCACATATAGGCAGCGGTACTGAACTCAGTAGGTTATAAACAGAATACCTGAAATTGGGAGAAGACCATGAGGAGGAAACAGGGAAATGGAGGACAGTGCGTAAGGGATGAATATTATCAAAAAATGTTTACATGTAGAAAATTCTCAAAGACAAATAAATGTAAATAATAATCACGCTAATACATCAGGCCTTTTCAAAGACTATAGGAATAACTGGTGAGCTTATATGTAGGTCATATTTGAATGATACCTTGAACATATTTAACTCTATTATTTATGATAAGATTATTGTTTCTGTGAATAAATGATTTTAAAGTAAATTAATTTTATAGGTTGTATATTCAATTAAGATAGGTAACCTGTGGAATAACTCTAAGATGAATCCAAAAATCCCACTTCCTTGGTAGGCTACACGAAGGGGTTCATAGCTAATGGTGTAGAGATCAGGGGGAAATGATGCAATGTTCCTTTGGGTATTAATTAAGTTGCAAAATAACAGACTTGCATCTTGTGCTCCATTACTCTTTCTGCCTCAGTCTGCTGCTCTGAGAGAATCTGTATACACACCATATGTCTCATAGAAGCAGCCACATGCAAATACCCAGATGTCTAGGAATTGGTACCTCTAGTCACAAGTTATTAAAGATCTGAAGACCAGCAATAGCCAAATCCATTGACAAATGGAAGTTTATGCTAGTCAAATTGTCAAAATTGAAACAATAGAATTGCTTCCATTTCCACACACAGGAATCTGAAATATCTGTGCAGAGATAACATGATCAGAATTCCCAAATAGAAAATAACTTATGGGAGGCTCATAAACAAATAAAACCTTATTTTGGCCTTGAGAAAAACTGTAGCCAAAAAATTAAAGAAATTGCCTTAACGTTTCTTGTCGCCTTTGCCACTTGATGGAGCTATAATGCCAGATAATTTTAAAACGTGTGCTATTTCCACAGATGCAGTCCTTTGGAGAATTGTAGACAAAATAAATTATCCTAGTCACTGTCCCAGTGACCACTGTCTTCCCTTGCTGAGCAATTACAGCAACAAGTCAACGGATAAAGTTTATATGATCTGGTACTAATAATGGAGGATAGTTTGCTTTATTTACTTCATTTGGAGTATGTGAATATTTATGTCAAGGTGTGTGTTGGCACAAATGTTTTGTATAAAGACAAGTGTTGGGCGGGAGTGGGACAGACGACTACCTTAGGTGTTTCCATTAATTGTTCTTATTGTTTGAGAAGGGATTCTTCACTGAACCCGAAGCTAGTCACTTGTTCAAGGCTGGCTGGCTGGCTAGCCGGGCCCAGGGAGTTACTTTTCTGTCTTCTCACACTGGCGTTGCCACATATGCTGCTACACTGAGCTTTTTTATAAGGATGCTGGAAATCTGAACACAGGTCTTCACATTGCATGGCAAACACTTCACCAACGGAACCACCTCTCTGTTCTCCTGTATTCCTTGGGAAAGTTTTACACATTGTTTATCAATTATGTTGATAAATATATTCTGACAAGTTAAAACTGAAAAGCTATTAAAGATGGACATCATATTTTTAACATGTGCATGTAAATTTTATGAATGGAATGGCAAACTCTCCTGAAGAGTAAAGCCTGGGAAGGATTACCTACTCAATCATCGGTTAGAGAAAAGCTAATTTTCTTCTATGAAGAGTAAATGCATAGGGAAGACATGTTGGTTGTAGGCATCATTCACACTCTAATCCTTACCAACTCTATTTTCTTTGTTTGGTATAAAGGGCCACAATTCTTTATCTAAAAGTTTTGGCTCTAAACATGCTTTGGAATCCAGAAGTTCTCAATATTTACAAACAAAAACGCAATCTAATACAGTATAGACCCAGAATATCTGAAATAGCAGCAGTTTAATAAATGTCTTGAAGAATAGATTCCACAAGAACTGCACTTTCGGGTAGAGTATTAAGGAAGAATGCTAATTAAGATGTGCTTTGGGAGTCAATGCCCAGAGAAGGGTGTTTCAGGAAACACAACTAGGTAGAGGGAATGGTGACGAATTTCAGTGATTTCTCATGCCTTCATTGACCATATACTACCTGTATTTGCTATTGACTTAAAGGCACTTCTGTATTCTTTTCTCATGTGATCAAATATTGGTTTTAGGCTAATGTGAGGAAGAGGAATGAGCTTGAATGATGTTGTTTCTTGAAACCAAAAGGGATTGATGATAGGAATCTTCCTAGTCATCTTCACATAACTGAAAGAATGAAGTCTTCAATCCTGCTGTGTAACTCATACTATTCTTGAAGATTCTAGGCTTCTAGGCCTGGTCACCAAGACCTTCTCAGAAAAAGGGCGATACCCCTTTCCAGTGAGCCTTTGATCATGTAGAACACAGGAAGAAGCATCATTGTGGAAGCTGTGACTTCCCCCACTTGACCTTGAAGTGGTTGATATCGTAATCTTGAGCTTCCCAGTTTCCAGGACTGTGTAAAGGGAACTTGTAATGTTTAGAATGGCACAGTAGATGGTATTTTGTTATAGAACAATAGTGGAATAAGAAAGACTACCAAGATGTGATCGAGTGATTGGTAGGACATGATCTATTCCTCTCTGCCTGCCCCCTCAAATTATGCTGCTTTGGAGAAAAGAGACAAACTAACATGGCTGTATGCTAGCTTCACTTCTTACCATCTGTTCATACATAGGAGCAGCATGGAGAACTTGAGAAACAATTGTTAGCTTATAAAGTCCAATAGGGATTGTGATGTGTCTCTTACTGACAGTCTCTCCCTTTGGAGATAGGGATCTCAAAATGTCTAAGACAAGAAAAAGAGACTCATTTGAGTCACTGAAAATGAATGACATTAGGGAAGCCATCTTACTTACATACTTGTTCTTAGAGGCCTGTCTGTTTACTTATCAGGATAAAGCATCAACTAAAGGCTTTCAAAGAATCTTCTGCCATATAAATTCTAGGTCGGGGTGTTAGCTAAAGCACTACAGGTGAACACCACAATCTCACAAGTGATATATGTCTATTCTTATAAAAAATGAATCAATGCCTTAGCCAAAATGGAAGGGGTTGAGAAAAGGTATCCAGCAAATCAGTAAGTACCCAGCAGATCTCAAATGATAAGTTTATATATTTCCCAAGGCAATTTTTCTTTGTCTAATGTGCCCCGGGGAAGTCCAGTGTTTGGATAATCCTATTCTAAAATATTAAATACTTTCCATAGCATAAACTCCTGGCTCTTCTGTCTTTCAAGGTTTCCACTGAGATTTAGCTGCTTTTTTTCTGAGTTATCCTTTCTATGTGACCTCGTTGTCTTTTAAATGTTTCAATACCATTTGTTATATGTTCTTTAGTGTTTTAATTATGGTATGTCATGGATAATATATTTTTTAATATTGTGTTCTCTTTGCTTCTTCTATTTGTAGACATGTGTCTTTTCTTAGTTTAGGAAAATTTTTTTTTGCCTTGTTGAAGATCTGATCTGTGCCATTGAGCTAGACTTCTCACTCATCAATTGCAATAACTCAAAAGTTGGAACTTTTTATGATATCCAATGTTACCTGTATATTCCTTTACTATGTTTTAATTTTCTTCATGTATTTTTGATTGTTTGGTCTAGTTCCTCTTCTTTATCCTTGAGTCCTGATATTCTTTTTCTGCATGGTTCATTCTACTCATCAGATTTCCACTTGAGTTTCTTAGTTGGATTATCCGTTCCATTTTATTTCAGTTTGAATTCTCCTTAGTGTATCTACATCTTTACTAAATTTAATTTTTCTATCCTGGATTGTCGACATCAGTTCAATCACCCTGTGTTTGTGTTTTGTTGTATATCATTAGCTTCTTTTTTTCTCCATAAATTCATTGAGCTGTGTCTTTAATCTCTTTGAATTCTTTGGAAATTTATAACTGCTCTTTTAAATTCTTCATCCTGGGGTTTATCTAGCTACTTCTCATTGAAATAAATCTCTAAAGGGTTTAAAGATTTGATGGAAGTAATAAAACTGGGTATGTTGGCTTCTTTTGTTAGTTCGTGTCTAATGTGAATACAGAGGCTGGGAAAGAGCACAAGATATGAGGTCT